CCTAGTGTTAATACTGTGTCCTGCATACCTAGTGTTAATATACTGTGTCCTACACCACCTAGTGTTAATACTGTGATTTTTTTAAATCGTAGTGATTGTAATTACACTTGAATATCCCGTGAATTTTAAAAAAAAAGTTTGGCTACCATTTTTACGGCTTAATTTTCATCTTCAGTGAAGAAAACCCTTTCATTTATAATATTAAATACAGTTATTCTTGTGTATCTGATATGTTTTTACAAATAAAACTAAATTATTCTGATATTTTCAAGTTTATAAAATGAAAATTAACAATTAAATGGTTACTATTTTTAGTTAGACTTAATACCACATCAGTACCAGTAATCTTTAATTCATTTTATTTTTAAATACTAATTTTAAACTTTCTTAATCATGGGATTTGATTTTTTCATCAATTTTATTTGAATTGATCTAACTAGCATGTTTGGAAAAGACTGTTAACTTTAAAAGTATCACCAGTAAGTGACCAATTAAAATAACTAAGTCCATCAGATGTTCTTACAAGTATCCAGTTTACTGATTAGTAAGTCTTGTATGGAAAACACATGAGTTTAAGTGAAGCTTTAAAAAAAAATTTTGTGTGATTCTGGTTTCCTGACCATCAATATTTTTTGTAACCATCAACCTTCATCATTTAAGTTAGAAACGTCTGGTTTACATACATAGCTACCATATTGGTTTTGATTGGAAAACCAGGTCCACAGTTTTTTTTTATTGTTGCCTGGTTTTAAAGATAAATAATATTATAATTTTCCAGAGCTATGGACCAATGAGGCCACCTTCTAACAATTCATTAGGACCAGGGGGTCCAGGAATGCCTCCTATGTCGATGTAAATATCATTTTTGGTTAAAACTAATTATTATGAAGTTTTGAATTTGGCTTTCCTTTTGTGATCAAAGTTAAATATATCAGTATTATATGTGAAACATAAATAATACACCAGATATTATTCTGCCATGATGTATATATGAGAAAACTAAACGTAAAACCAAATTTGATAAAAGCTTACATCTTTCATCAGGAAGGATTGTTTTATCTGAATACACCTCTATAATTGTTTCAAGGATATTTTAGGTAATGTAGAGTTCTGGTTTTAATGGACTGTTTCTATATTAGGACAACGTTTTGGCCCTTCTTTGGGTCAAGTTCAACCTAAACATTGGCCTACTCTAGAAACAGGCAGGATCAGTTCGTTAGAGCCATAACTCTATCCCTGTATGTATATAATCGTTTAGAAATAACAAAATTATTGTATATGAATATAACTGTTTTATCTTTCTGTTTGTATAAATTTTCTATTTGTTTATGTTTGCTAATTTAGGGGCTCTGTAGTCATAAGTGTTAACTGTATATATGTGTCAATTTAGGGGTTTTGTAGTCATAAATGTTATATTTTTACGTATGATGATTTATGAGTTTTCTAGACATAAATACTAATATCTGTATATACTTGTTAATTTATTCTTCACATCATATTTTAAGATTGCTACATTTCTGTCTTGGTACTGGTTTTCCAGATATTTAGATACATTAACATTATCAAAATATGTTGCCTTACCTAGTTATTGGTTTAGACAATTTTTTCTGACTTTCTGTCCAGTCTAGGCATGTATACATACATTAGATATTTTTCAGTTTATCCAATAAGTTATAAAACAAATATTAGTAATTTTTTTAACAGGCCTGGCTCTGGAGGTAGACCTTGGCAACCTAATTCATCAACGGTAAGAAGTCTCGTTAAATCAAAAGGCTAGAACATGAAAGTGAAATAAGATTTTTTATATGACAATAATATATACTGATATTAGTTTTTCACCAGATTATTACCAAGCATTCAGTAAAAATAGTTGGTGGGTTTAGTTATGTAAGAAAAAAAAATGAGACAAAAACTGTATACATTTGAAACATTCATAAGGAAATGATAGTATTATATTTACTGTATTCTTTCCAGTGTTCCATAGTGTTATAATTACTGTATTCTTTCCAGTGTTCCATGGTGTTATAATTACTGTATTCTTTCCAGTGTTCCATGGTGTTATACTTATTGTATTCTTTCCAGTGTTCCATGGTGTTATACTTATTGTATTCTTTCCAGTGTTCCATGGTGTTATACTTACTGTATTCTTTCCAGTGTTCCATGGTGTTATACTTACTGTATTCTTTCCAGTGTTCCACAGTGTTATACTTACTGTATTCTTTCCAGTGTTCCATGGTGTTATACTTATTGTATTCTTTCCAGTGTTCCATGGTGTTATACTTATTGTATTCTTTCCAGTGTTCCATGGTGTTATAATTACTGTATTCTTTCCAGTGTTCCATGGTGTTATAATTACTGTATTCTTTCCAGTGTTCCATAGTGTTATAATTACTGTATTCTTTCCAGTGTTCCATGGTGTTATACTTACTGTATTCTTTCCAGTGTTCCATAGTGGTATGATTACTGTATTCTTTCCAGTGTTCCATAGTGTTATACTTACTGTATTCTTTCCAGTGTTCCACAGTGTTATACTTGCTGTATTCTTTCCAGTGCTCCACGGTGTTATACTTGCTGTATTCTTTCCAGTGCTCCATGGTGTTATACTTACTGTATTCTTTCCAGTGTTCCATAGTGTTATAATTACTGTATTCTTTCCAGTGTTACATAGTGTTATGATTACTGTATTATTTTCGATGATCCATGGTGTTATACTTACCATATAAAAATCCTTGCTTCAAAAATATTATTTTATAACCTAAATTTGGTATATATTTGTAGATTTTGTATATAGTGTTTTTCGGTATATATTTATAGATTCTGAGTGTAGTGTTTTTCGGTATATATTTATAGATTTTGAGATAGAGTTTTTCAGTATATATTCATAGAATTTGAGTGTAGTGTTTTTCGGTATTATATTTATAGATTTTGAGATAGACTTTTTCAGTATATATTCATAGAATTTGAGTGTAGTGTTTTTTACTGTTTTCTACTTTAAGCAGAGCATTGCAGAAAAGTATTTTCTGGAAAGTTTACAAGAATAGTAAAATAGTTTTTATATACATTTCATAAAAGATTTAAATGTTCTTTTACCTTGCAGTTATTTCTGTACTTACTTAAAAACCAGTGAATGTAAACTTTTTTTTTAATTTTTTACAGATCAATTATTCTTCAGCGTCACCTGGTAGTCACTATGTAAGTTCATAACTTATGTTCTTATACATGTTCTTTTTATCATATAAACTTAGTGTTATTGTTCCAGAATTACAAATAGTTAGTGCTGATACTCTGTTAAAAACTTTGCAAGAACATTTCAAAACAAACACTGGAAAAAGAACAGTTGTTTTTACCTCTGTTTACAACAGATGATGTAAAACAGCTGTTGTAAAATAAAACCTCTATAATGATGCCATGTTAACTCTTTTAGCATGGGCTCAGTTCCTAGGACTGACCTCGTAACCATTTTGTGCTTGTTATAGTT